CATAGCGACTGTCGAAAGAAAATTAAACCAAAAAAGGGAAGGGATTCGTGTTTACCTCTGGGATGAGAAGATTGGCTCTTCTACTCTGAATAATCAGTCAAACACCACTCTAGAAGGCAAAGAACCAAGAATCGCAAAAGTTTCTTGCTCTCTCTAAAAATGAAAGTACTGTGACTTTGCCTGAAAGAGCTGGGGTTTATACAGTTGAGGAAGTGGCGCTTTGCTTTCCCGAAGTCAAACTATGTTTGAGCAGAAAACATATCTGACCGTTGATCGCGACCACGTGTCACGAATCAGCGAGGAAGAGTGACCGTCACACCTCAGAAAATTAGATCGTCATCCCTTTTGAAATACTCAAGCAACGGCACGTTTTCCCTCCTCCACATTTAATGCACCCACGTCTGCATTAATGCTCTGACAGTGAATGTCGTTTCAGCATGGCTCGCATTTAATGCGCATGGTTGTCACTTATTAGCTTAAGACATGTCTGTCAGAGCAAAAGGTGCTTCATTAATGTATCTGCTGAAAAGTGCAACGGATAACATCTGAAGAGGTCGTTATAAAAACACTCTTCGTTTTGTAAGTTGCAAGGCGACGTAATCTTCAGCCTCGTCTCATGTCGGTCACGAAGTGATGTGATTCCTCGACCTTGACAGAAATCAACTGCGAAGCAGCGACCATTTATCCTCTTGAAGGTTGCCAAGTGTAAAAGGTCGAAGATTCCACCCAAGCGGAATCATCTATAGCACTAGATACCCAAATCCAGGTCGCTGACTGTAAGATCAAAGATCACCCTAGGTCGCATGCGAGGAGGTGTCCTTTCACCTCCTTCACAATCAAGTCGCTTTGAACAGCCATCTTTCAGGCACGTCAAAAAGGAATTGTAATTTCAAGGTTCGATTCTCAAACCTTAAAATTAGGGACTTTTGTTATGCCTGAAAAGTCGGGTGAGTAGAGCCCAGTCAGCGCAAGTGGTCAGGGTCTAGGCAGATCTTGCAGCCATTCAGACGTTGCCATATCGTATGCTGGCGTGAGCAGCCATGCTGCTGCCAGTGCAATGGGTGTGCGACAGACTGACGAAAGGCTGGAGGTGTCCACGTGTCCAACCCTACATAAAGTGAGGAGATCACGCAAGTAGGTGAATAATGAGACGCAAAGGAGGATTTGCCAAGTACCTGACCCCATTTTACGGATTCAGTAATGATTACCTTAATGTATCCACATATAAAAGAGAGCTTATCTCCGTTTGTGGGGATTCGCTCATTTTTACTCTTGATTAGCTATCTTTCTCTGCAATAGCTCTCCTCTTCTCTCTCTCTCTCATCAGCTCGCTAGTCGCGACCTGATCCTTCGAATAAATACAATCAGTGGACGTAGGATTTGCTTGGTCAAGCATCCGAACAACTTTAAACATTGTCTTGCCACCATTTACATCCTCAATCCCTCATTCACGTGTGTCTTCTGGGCCAATCAGCATTTCACAGTGTGGTGTTGGTGTCAAAATCAGGCATCGACAACTCTAAAACTTGGCCGAATAGCAAGCGAGGATGATTTTTTTTAGTACTTTGAGCTTGAAAAGTTGAGTGATTCAGTTTTTTTAATTTTGAAGCACTATTTGATACAAAATTCCATGGCCGTCCTTTGAAAGCTCTGAGACAGAAAATGGGATATAACCAGTACCCCTCACAGTTTCGTCAACTAACACAGAAGTTTCGTCTAGTTACACACAAAAGTTTCGTCTACCTGCGGTGTTTATGTGGAAATATGGCTGTGGGTAAGGGGAGATGGGTATATTTACGTTGCTTTTCACGTGGAACTCAAATAATTTAAAGGGATGAATGAGCAATTTTGTGAGGCTTCCAGAGGCTTTGAATCATCAAAATTAAAAATATATAGATCTCTCTTAACTATTTTTGGTCTAAACTGATTTTCAAATTTCAAATTTTTTTTAATTGTAGAATCGATTTCTCACTATATGATTTTGTTATTTAGTTTATGATTTTAAGATTTATCTTTACCTTGTTTTTTTTTTTTTTTTTTTTTGGTTACAGAATCGAAATAAAGAATAATCGAGAACTTTAGTATGATTCTGTATTAATTATGACCTTTTACTTTAGAGATATCAAAAATTACATATTGATAAGCCAAAAATCATACCGGACATTGTCAGACTCAATAACGAAATAAACATTGTACACAGTCTAATGCCTTAGTCCAATCCGAATTGGGTCCACACCCAAATCCATCTTATGGAAAGATCATATATCGAGATGACCCATTCTATAGAAAATGACCATTCTATGGGTTGACCCATTTGAGCTGGTCCACACCACGAGTCAGTCCTCTCCACAAACTGGGCTACTCTACAAGTCGATCCCTCTACAATTAGGTCACCCTTCGAATTAGGCCAGCCTACACTTTGGGTCTCTCTACGAGTTGGACATTTCTATAATTTGAGCTAAAAAAGACTCCGGTCCATCAACAGTATTCATTCCAAAATAGGGCTCTAAGTCCCATATCTTCATAATCTCAAATTCATAATCTTACATGAACTAGTGCATTACTTCTCCATGGATGAGTATTATAAGTTTTATGTTTACTACAAGGATTCAAGCTTTCTTGATTCACTATATAAACAAAAGTTAACATTCTTATATTTAACGCATGGTTAAATTAAGTTAATTGATTTATTTAACTTAGGATTTTTGTTCAAGGTGCCTGAGATATATTTGGGTAACTTTAAGTAAAACAGTAATTAAATATGAGGAAAACTTGACTTGGATTATGAGTATTTTTTTTGAAAAAAAAAATTATTGGTAGGTTTTCTGTCCATAGATCTTATATGAGTAAATCATAAATACAAATTTGACAAATATTATTTATGACAAATAAATTCAACATTTACAGTCCTCATAATAAATCTCAACTTTATCTTTCTAGTGTATAAGAGCATGTCCAATGACTATTTATATGAGCCAAACTTTTTATCACTGTATAAAGATTTATCCATAGAAACAAGAGTCCAATAGACTCTTTATATTTAATATAAATAAAGAGTAAGTTGTTTCCCACATTTAGAGAGTCAAATTTCACTCTTAATCCTAATTTTAAATATAAATTACAAGTTTCTATGCATTTATTTATAATTTATCTCTCAATTAAGTTTTCTTCTTGAAATACTATTCTCTCTCCTAAAATTTAAAGAGTTTATTAGATTTAAATAAAAAATTTGTCTTTACATTTAAAATAATAAAAATATCTTTATTTATATAAAATGTTCTTTAAAATAAAGAACACCATTGAAAAGCTTCTAAGGGCTGTTGAAAGTAATTAAAATTAACCAAGTTTCTATATCTTAGGTTGTGGTGTTGGGCCAATATATTTTTTAATGGGGAATCGGCCCGGCCCTCCTTTATAGGCCTTTAACTAATATATATGTGAACAATTATTAATTGGAGATCTTTTGTCATGTGAAGCCCACAATCAAAGGTTTCGAAGGGAACTCTTCGTCTTGTACCCATAAAACCAAATGCTAATCAATAATGCTAAGTCAATATTTTTCCAATCCTTGATGTAATAGATCGTCATTGGTTGTCTATAAAATGGATAATGGGACTTATACGAGCAAATAAGACTTATTTTACGAGTTGATCAATGACTAGTTGTCACATCGGAGAACGTGGGATTGAGTTGTAGACCTAAGCATTACTCATGCTAATTTCAAAACTCTAAAATCATTGGTGATTTTTATTATTTATTTATTTTTTAATGGCTTCCAACATCTATTTTCAGGAGATCTCACTACAAAGTTTGAACGAAAAATTCACGGGGAAGAAAATAAGGAAGAGACTACCGCAAAACTGAAATACTGGAAATTCCACTACACTTTTATTCCTTTATGCCTTCGTGTGACTTGGCTGCATTCCACTAATCACTAGCCTTATACTTTTTTGTACATAGGGCAAAAGAGATCAAACAGAAAGGCACGGCATGACCCTCAAAACACGAAAAAAGAGGTCGGCTAAAAGCTACTCAGAATTTAGGTCAATCATATTTGGGTGCCAGTAAGGGTCAAAATGCAAACGATTGAAGAAATTAAAGGCGGTGCCCTTGATTGTGATTATATCTTCACAAAATGCCCATGTACCACTCACTATTCAAGCCTGTGGAGTTTTGTACCCAACTGTGCTCCCTTTTGCACTAGTTTACTCAACGTAAACTTCATGTTCTTTGATCCTGACCAAGCCCAATCGCTTCTTGAATTCTGATCACATTAAACTCAACCTGCTTGATCTCGCTTAATTTCAATCCATAATCATCATTTTTTATCTCTTGGAGCCCAATATGTCCACAAATGGTCAGAGTTATACATTCCGGTCCAAAACCACCGTCTTTGCCTCTCTAACGCTATAGCTTTTGTGGTGCATTTGTCAGCTAGATTGCTAAATTGTGTCATGGCTCTCTAAATTCTTCAATCGTTGAACGTCAATTTCAGATATTAACCCGGTTGAATTCGGAGGAAATTGAGTAGCATCACAACATTTCTTCCACTGATTATAGTAAATCTTAAGAAGTTTACTAGCCTCTTGGTGATTGTGATTTATGCAAAACCATCCAGTTCTGATTGAAACGTCACATTCAGCTGGCAACCAATCTGTCCTCTGGACACCTCTGTATATATACTAAAAAAAACTTTACACTCAATAATCACAAAGTGTAAGTCTTTATGTGTTCACATGTTATCATTTTCTAAAGGTAAATCACCACTATAGTGTTTTTTTTTTCAAAGAAGTAGGAAAACATTGTCACGACCAACAATAATTTATTATTAAACCGTGAAGTTGACGCATCTCTTCTCATTGAAAAGTGAAAACAATAAAGCTTAGAGAGAAGAAATTAAAGGACGAAAAGCTAACAGAAACCAATTCCACCAAACTTAATAATAACCAAACTCTAAGTTTCAACTGCAAAAGTCATTTGAGATAATACTGTAATTTGCATGATTTGGTTAATAAAAAATACTCACTCAACGATGCTTCCATTTCCTATTGATAGAGATGTGCGATTGATGGTCGACCAGCATGTGCTTCCAGCGAATCCTTTTTCATTACCAACCCATCTAACATCCGACCCGCATCCGAAATACGTTAATGGAACTCTGCAACTCTTTACCATGGCGAACACTCTGTAAATAGTATGACATGTAACCGCATTTGGACCCTTTGCTCCATCGAAACCATATCTCTACGTTTCCATATCACCAATAATAGATGCCACGTATCAATCAGATGAAGCGGATTAAACAATTAACTTATTTTCACAAAGTAGAGAAAATTGAGGTAACTGGTGAGTAGTTCTTGCATTTGAGCTAAGTAGTATTCATTATACTGCAATCGTGGCCATATCTCGGATCATGGCGATCCCATGGAGATAAATACAATCCTGCATCGACTCCGCGAGCTTTAGCCGCATTTACAAACTCTGTACCACGTCACCATGTCCATTTTTCCAGGGACTAAGTTTGACAGAATGGTCAGTATATTTTGAAGGCCACAAGCAAAATCCATCGTGGTGTTTTGCAGTAAGTATGACAAGAGAAACTCCTGGGTCCATTGCTGCACTGATCCACTGGTTGGCATCGAGCCCGATTGGTTGAAAATAGCCGGGTTTTCTTTCCCAGTGCCCCATCAGAGTCGGTGAATGTTTAACTCAAAGTGGAGAACATTATGATCTCTCTTTTGCCATTTAGTTGAGTATAAGGAAGTGGCCAAACAGGAATGGGTGGTGTTGTAACTTGCTCACGTCGAGAAATAGCAAATTTAATAGTTGAAACAACGTTATTGTGAGTAAAAACACAATAACTTAGTCATAATCATCCGGTTATGGTTTCTCTTTGCTCAATAATTCTCTCCTCTCATATAAATAGAGGAAATTATGAGAGAAACTTGCTTGGTGGAGATGGGTTGTATGATAAGATAGGTGTTGACGCTTGATTTTAGACACCAACGACTCGCATGTGCAAAGTGCAAGAGAGCCTTAGAAATTACACGTGATGGATCCATGAGATTTGAATATGGAGCTGAGATTTATATGTTGCAGAAAACATAAATATAGACATAAGAGAGGTTTTATAATGGTTCGGATGCTCAAAAGCAAATATCGTCTACGTTATTTTATTGATCTCTGGCTATTTCTATGATACTGCCATAAGGCATACAAAGAGAAGAAATACAGTGTTTACAAAGAGAAAATTGAGTTCAATCTATGCCTAGCTCTCATATGCCCAACCCCCCTTTTAGGGAAGAGAAGTGTCAATTTATACACCTTTGAACTGAATGTAATGAGTGTTTTGCAAGTTGCCTGACACATGGAAGACTCTCGTCCATTCATCTCTTGAAATGAGATAGGGTTGGTATGAATATCTTTGAGGCAGATGGGCTTGATAGCTAGTATAAAAAGACATTTAGTGAACTGACATAAGCGTGACTTTTTATGCATAACAGAAGCCCCCAGTTTTTGGAGTGCATAATCGCGCTTCAGAAACTAGGTCTTTGATCTGAATGGTTTTGCACTATAGGCTGTAGTCTCGAACTAAAGAGCTCGAACTATTCCTGGCACGATCGAGTGCTGAGAGCTAGGAGCTGATTGCGATCTGGTAGGAGCTCGACCTAAAATCATAACGAGCTCGACCTTAGAGCATAATGAGCTTCACCTGAGAGATCGACCTGAGAGCATAACGAGCTCGACCTGAGAGCATAAAGAGCTCTACTTGAGAGCAAACAAGCTCAGCCTCAGAGCATAACGAGCTCAACCTGAGCATAAAGAACTAACTCAAACCAACGAGTCAACTGAGAAACGAGCTCTACCTGAGCATAACAGCTTGACTCAGAGCATAATGAGCTTTACCTGAGCATAACGAGCTCGACCTGAGAGCAAGAGATCAGTGATCTCACTGTGCGATCAGCGATCGAACACGCGATTGAAGCTAGAGATTAGCAATCTAAAGGTCGAAGATCAAGATTACGAGGTGCAATCTGCGATCTAGCCACACGATTGGAGAATTCTGAGCGCTGTGATCTAGCCACTCGATTACAGAATCTAACGCGTGCGATCTGCAATCTGGCCACGTGATTCGAGAACTTTGCGCGTGTGATCTGCGATCTGGCCACGCGATTGGAGAATTTTGATGCGGGCTTGAGATCTGAGCACGCCATCAGGGAACTTGGACGCAGGTTTGAGACCGCATGGGCCACCAAACTGTTGATGTTGATTTTGGATGCCAACAACTCGCATGTGCAAGTGCTAGAGAGCCTTAGAATTACACGTGATAGATCTATGAGATTTGAATATGGAGATGAGATTTTATATGTTGCAGAAAACATAAATAATACGCTAACAAGAGATGTTTTTATAGTGTTCGGATGCTCAAAAGCGAATCCTACGTCCACTGTTATTTTGTGATCTTTGGCTATTTCTATGATATTGGCCATAAGACATACAAAGATGAAGAAATACGTGTTTACAGAGAGAAAATGAGCTCAAATCTATGCCTAGCTCTCAATGCCTAGCCCCCCTTTTTGAGAAGAGAAGTGTCAATTATACACCTTTAAACTCAAGAATGAATGTTTTGCAAGTTGCCTTGACACATGGATGACTTTCGTCATTCATCTCTTGAAATGAGATAAGGTTGGTATGAATATCTTTAGGCAGATCAGGGTAGAAGACAGTATGCAAAGGAAATAATACAAGCAACCCAAGTGAGTGGTAATTTAAGCATTGAGGAATTTGCAGCCAAAGTAAATGAAGAAACCCTGGACAAGATGCAATATCTCCACGCAGCGTTGTCTGAGACGCTTAGACTCTATCCCGCAGTTCCAGTGGTAAGTACATGCACAATCAGAGTAGAACATTAAAAAAAAAAAAAAAAAAAAAATGCTACACACAATTGTTTGATTTTGATTTTATAAATGTCTTAGTTTTCCTTCCGGTTTACATGGGTATTACTCAAAGAAAAAATTCTAGCCCGACCTAATATGATTTTCCGGCTATGCACATATTATAATGAGACCATTGGCTTTGTTTGAAAGAAGTATTGTGGGTGGTGTCACAGGATGGGAAGATGTGTTTTGCCGATGACACACTGCCTCATGGCTTCACTGCGCATAAAGGAGATCTGATCGCATATTTACCTTATGCGATGGGTAGGATGATAGAATTATGGGGTAATGACGCAGAGGAATTCCGGCCAGAGAGATGGCTCAATGAAAATGGCGTTTTCCAACCGAAAAGCCCTTTCATCTTCACAGCCTTCCAGGTAAGATAGAGTCTGATTATGATATGCGTTAATCTCATTTGGCAACTCATGTTTTAGCACTCAAGTAGATTGTTACATTACATTGTTCATTTACAGTACACCAGACAGATCGATGTGACTAACAGGACCTGTTTTTGAAGAACTTCTTTCCGATTAGCTAATCAATTTGATCATTTATGTTGAACAGGCGGGTCCAAGAATCTGTCTAGGAAAGGATTTTGCTTACAGGCAGATGAAAATCTTCTCTATGATCCTACTTGGATGTTACAAATTCAAGCTCAAAGACGAAAGTAAACCAGTCAAGTACAGAACTGCACTCACTCTTCCAATTGATGGTGGACTCCATCTCCTTATCTCCCCAAGATTAAACCCTGGAATTATAATTAACGCTTAAATTAACATCTTCTTCTTTCTTAACTGAGTGAATAAACAACCGACATAATGTTGATTATATGGTTGCGTTTGTGTAGTATCTCTAAATAGTCCAATTTGTCTCGTTGAAGGAGAAATCTTGGAGAAGTTTGTCCTTTTTTTTTTTTTTTTTTTTTTTATTGCTTGTGGTAATTAAGTGGCAATGTAGTTTGTTAAAATGCTTTATTTAAAATCTTGGCCAAATGTTGATTCAAGCTTCCTTGACTTATTATATAAACAGAAGTTAACCTTCTTATTATTTAACGCACAGTTAAATTAAGTTAAATTGATTTTAATTTAATTTAGGATTTTTGTTCAAGGTGCCTGAGATATATTTGGGTAAATTTAAGTAAAACAATGGAATTAAATATGAGAAAAACTTGACTTGGATTATTAGCATTTTTTTTTTTAAAAAAATAAAATTATTGGTAGGTTTTTCTGTCCATAGATCTTATATGAGTAAATCATAAAATACAATTTTGACAATATATTATTTATGACAAATAAATTCAAACTTTATCTTTCTAGTGTATATAGTTGCAATTGATACAGAGTCAAATGGTTATCGTTTATTGATTTGATTCATTTACCACATGTTAAATTGGCGATAGTCTTCTCATTTTATCATATTCACAAACGTAAGGTGAAAACGGAGTGCGTGTTAGAGATTATCTCTGATGAGTTTTTGAAACTTTAAGGGCCTTGGGAGTAATTAAAATTAACCAAGTTTCTTTATCTTAGGTTGTGGTGTTGGCCCAATATATATATTTTTTAATGGGAAATGGCCCGGCCCTCTTTTTATAGGCCTTTATCTAATATATATGTGAACAATTATTAATTGGAGCTCTTTTGCCCACAATCAAAGGTTTTGAAGGATACTCTGTCTTGTACTGATAAAAATACCAAATGTTAATTCAATAATGCTAAGTCGATAACTTTTTCTCACAATCTTTGATGTAATAGATCTTCATTGGTTGTCTCATAAATGGGTAATGGGACCCATATAAGCAAATAAGACTCATTTTACGAACTGATCAATGATAAATCGTCACATCGAAGATTGTGAGATTGAGTTGTAGACTTAAGCATTATTCATGCTAATTTAAAGTCTATGATTATAATGAAAACATCCCTCATGCTTGTTATTAATGTGTCAACATATTACGATAATGCGACAAGCAAAAGCAATATAAGGCTCATAATACATGAAGATATTTTGGAGGGATAGATGATAATTAGAATCTTTCAAAACTCAAATCATTGTGATTTTTTATTATATTTTTTTTTTAATGATGCTTCAACATCTTCTATTTTCGGGAGATTCTCATACAAAAGTTGGACAGAAAATTCACGGGAGAGAAAAATAGAGAAGAGACTACACCACAA